GACACGGCCACCTACTACTGCACCAAAAGTTATGGTGCTGCTGGTTATAGTGCTGCTTGTAGAGACCCTATTGGGCAATGTCATTGCTGGGCCAATCTTGGTCTTCTTGGTCAGCCCATGGCCATCAGCGCCCATGGGGACATCCCATAAGGGTCTTGGCTACCAAAAGGGTCTCCCACGATCAGCCCAATAAGCACCAGCACCAGCAGCGGGCACTTTGCCACAGTAGTAGGTGGCCGTGTCCTCCACCTTGAGGCTGTTCATCTGCAGGTAGACGCTGCTTTGCCCGTCGTCCCTGGACGCGGTGAAACGACCCTGCACCGCCGGCGCGTAGGTGGTGCTGCTACCATCGGGGCTGATAGCCATGACCCGATCAAGCCCCTTCCCGGCCGGTTGACGGATCCAATACATGGCAAAGCTGCTGAAGGTGAAGCCGGAGCCCTTGCAGGAGAGGCGGAGGCTCCCGCCGGGCGCCTGGAGGCCGCCCCCGGACTCGACCAGCTCCTGGTTCTGGTTATGGTGCTGATGGTGACACCGTTGACCAGGTCATTGAAGCTCTCCCGATCACCTTGAAGAGCTCTTGGTCATCGACACCCATGGGCGAAACCCAAGAGGCTGCTGGTCACCACCATAATAAGCAGCCCAACCAGCACCAGCATAAGCATTTTTGGCGCAGTAGTAGGTGGCCGTGTCCTCCACCTTGAGGCTGTTCATCTGCAGGTAGACGCTGCTCTGCCCGTTGTCCCTGGAGATGGTGAAGCGGCCCTGCACCGCATCCGCGTACCAGGTGCTACCACCGGTGCTGTTGATACTCGTGACAAACTCGGGCCCCTTCCCGGGCGGTTGTCGGATCCAAATCATGCGGAAGCTGCTGAAGTCGAAGTCGGAGCCCTTGCAGGAGAGGCAGAGGCTCCTGCCGGGCGCCTGGAGGCGCCTCCGGACTCGACCAGCTCCTGGTTCTGGTTATGGTGCTGATGGTGACACCGTTGACCAGGTCATTGAAGCTCTCCCGATCGCCTTGAAGAGCTCTTGGTCATCGGCACCCATGGGTGCAACCCAAGAGACTGCTGGTCACCACCATAATAAGCAGCCCAACCAGCACCAGCATAAGCATTTTTGGCGCAGTAGTAGGTGGCCGTGTCCTCCACCTTGAGGCTGTTCATCTGCAGGTAGACGCTGCTCTGCCCGTTGTCCCTGGAGATGGTGAAGCGGCCCTGCACCGCATCCGCGTACCAGGTGCTACCACCGGTGCTGTTGATACTCGTGACAAACTCGGGCCCCTTCCCGGGCGGTTGTCGGATCCAAATCATGCGGAAGCTGCTGAAGTCGAAGTCGGAGCCCTTGCAGGAGAGGCAGAGGCTCCTGCCGGGCGCCTGGAGGCGCCTCCGGACTCGACCAGCTCCTGGTTCTGGTTATGGTGCTGATGGTGACACCGTTGACCAGGTCATTGAAGCTCTCCCGATCGCCTTGAAGAGCTCTTGGTCATCGGCACCCATGGGTGCAACCCAAGAGACTGCTGGTCACCACCATAATAAGCAGCCCAACCAGCACCAGCATAAGCATTTTTGGCGCAGTAGTAGGTGGCCGTGTCCTCCACCTTGAGGCTGTTCATCTGCAGGTAGACGCTGCTCTGCCCGTTGTCCCTGGAGATGGTGAAGCGGCCCTGCACCGCATCCGCGTACCAGGTGCTACCACCGGTGCTGTTGATACTCGTGACAAACTCGGGCCCCTTCCCGGGCGGTTGTCGGATCCAAATCATGCGGAAGCTGCTGAAGTCGAAGTCGGAGCCCTTGCAGGAGAGGCAGAGGCTCCTGCCGGGCGCCTGGAGGCGCCTCCGGACTCGACCAGCTCCTGGTTCTGGTTATGGTGCTGATGGTGACACCGTTGACCAGGTCATTGAAGCTCTCCCGATCGCCTTGAAGAGCTCTTGGTCATCGGCACCCATGGGTGCAACCCAAGAGACTGCTGGTCACCACCATAATAAGCAGCCCAACCAGCACCAGCATAAGCATTTTTGGCGCAGTAGTAGGTGGCCGTGTCCTCCACCTTGAGGCTGTTCATCTGCAGGTAGACGAGGGCTCCGGCTTCACCTTCAGCAGCTTCGGCATGAACTGGATCCGTCAACCGGCCGGGAAGGTGCCCGAGTTCGTCGCGGCTATTAGCAGCAGTGGTGGTAGCACCTTGTACGCGGATGCGGTGCAGGGTCGTTTCACCATCTCCAGGGACAACGGGCAGAGCAGCCTCTACCTGCAGATGAACAGCCTCAAGGTGGAGGACACGGCCACCTACTACTGCGCCAAAGCTGCTAGTGCTGGTGCTTGGGATGCTGCTGCTGGTGCTTGGGCTGCTTATGCTGGTAACAACCAGCAGCCTCTTGGGTTGCGCCCATGGGTGCCAATGACCATGAGCTCTCCAAGGCATTCAGGAGAGGCCACCAATGTCCTGGTCAATGGTGTCACCACCAGCACCATAACCATAAGCACCAGCAGCTTTGGCGCAGTAGTAGGTGGCCGTGTCCTCCACCTTGAGGCTGTTCATCTGCAGGTAGAGGCTGCTCTGCCCGTTGTCCTTGGAGATGGTGAAGCGGCCCTGCACCGCACCCGTGTACCAGGTGCTACCATCGGTGTTGATACCCGCGACCCACTCGGGCGCCTTCCCATGCGGTTGACGGAACCCAGAGCTGCCCCCAGTGCTCCAGGTGCCTCCGCAGGGCTGAGCAGAGGGGCAGGATCCCCCCTGGACCTGCTGGTAACGCTCCTGCTGCTGTGCCGGGATCCCATTGGCCTTCCTGGGCACGAGGACACGTTCAGTGATTCATTTTGGAGTGGAAAAGGGGCATTTCTGAGGGAAAAAGGGGCTGTTTTGAGCAGAAATGTGACATATGGAAGCAAAAAAGTGGCATTTCTGAGTGAAAAGTGTCACTTTGGAACAGGAAAAGTGGCATTTTGGATTGAAAAAGTGGTATTTCTGAGTGAAAAAGGGGCATTTCTGAGTGAAAACTTGGCATTTTTGAGTGGAAAAGTGCCATTTTGGAGAGGAAAGGAGACATTTTTGAGTGAAAAGTGGCATTTGGGAGTAAGAATAGTGCATGTTGGAGTGAAAAGTGGCATTTCTGTGTAAAAAAGTGGCATTTTTGAGTGAAAAACTGGCATTTTTGAGTGGAATACTGGCACTTTGGAGCAAGAAAAGTGGTCTTTTGGAGCAAATAAGTGGCATTTCTGAGTGAAAAAGGGGCATTTCTGAGTGAAAAAGTGGGATTTTGGGGGATAATTGGGGCTTTTGGAGTGGGAATGGCACGTGTTAGAGCAAAAAAGTGGTGTTTTGGACCGGGAATT